GCGGATTGTTTTTGAAAAAAAAACAGGGCAGTTAAGTATAGCAAATCTGTATATATATATATATATATATATATATATATATATATATATCTATATATATATATATATATATATATATATATATATATATATATATATACACACACATATATATATATATATATATATATATATACACACACACACATATATATATATATATATATATATATATATATATATATATATATATATATATATATATATATATATATATATATATATATATATATATATATATGTAGATAGGTAGATAGGTATATATAGACATAGATATACAGTGGTGTACACTTATATATATATATATATATATATATATATATATATATAAATATATATATATATATATATATATATATATATATATATATATATATATATATATATATACATATATATATATATATATATATATATATATATATATATATATATATATATATATATATATATATATATATATATATAGAAAGATAGATAGATATATCTAGACATACAGTGGTGTACACTTGGTTTTTGATGAAGGATTTAAATTACTTTTAATCATACATATAATGGAATGTTTCCTTTTATAGAGCTTATAATAAAACTAAATTTAAATATTAAAATTTTAAATTTCGTTAAAATGTTTTCAAGAAACATTTTAACGAAATTTAATAAAATAAGTATATTATTTAATTATAAATGCATTTGATTGTTTAACGTTTTTACATAAGTTTTTACAATTTAATTTTGCAAAAGCGTTTGCTAATTATGCAGTTATTACTTCAAAACTTTGATTTGTTTTTTACGAAAATTCAAAAGCTGCATTCTAATTTAAACAGAATGATGTAAGTTATTATAAAAGAAGGAAGATAAACTTCAACAATCAAATTTTAAAGATGTTGCTTTATTCGTACATTAGAATTAAAAGTAATTATCAAAAGCTATTTTGTTGATAAAAAAGAAACAGTCTTTCAAAAAAAAAAAAATGTAAAAATTTACCTTGAGTGGTTAAAATGTTGCTAAATGTAGAAATGACTTGTGATAAAAACTTTGTGCTAAAAACTTTTGATTTTATGAAATTCAATTTTTTAATTTTCAACTTTTTGAATTTTTAATTTAAAAATTCAAAAAGTTTTAATTTCCTAATTTAAATTTTCTATTCTCATTGGGACAAAGCATTTTGAAAATAGTATGTTATAGCCATGTTTGTTAAAAAACTGCAAAAAAAAAAAAAAAATCAATTTAAATAATTAGTAGATTAAGTTTAAGTAAAAAGTTAAAAAATGAACCAGTTTAAAAATTCGCCCAGCTCTGTAACTCAATTGCGTCAAAAGGTTATTTCCAGTAGCCCTTTGAAAGATTCAGGTGGCATTTGTCATTGTGCGACCGCTAGTGTACACCACTGATAAATATATATGTGTACAGGCTTGGTTGGGAAGCAAGTGCAATTGCATTATATTATAAACCACGCAAATTATATTTCTTTGCAACAACTAGGCCATTGCTTTTTAGACGTTTTGAGAATATTCAAATTTATATTTGTTTTCATGTATGTCTAAAACATTTTAGCACACTAAAATAATCAAATCCGTAAATAATATTTTGTAATTAATTATTTTTAAATTAGCAAAGTGCTTTTAAACTAAGCAATGACTTAAACTGCGCATTGAATAAAATTTGAAAATTAATAATTATTAAAGTGAATAAAATTACTATTCAAATAAACATGCAGGAACTTACAGACAACTAAACATAGACAAACATATATCCATAGTAAATTTCAAGTGGATTAACACCGTTCTAGAGGTTGGAAACATACATTTATATAATGTGACTTACAGGTGAACCAGCACCGCTCCAGAGGTCCATTCAGAACACAAATGTACAAATATATTAAAAACCCTACTCACTAAACATCATCAGCAGTACTGTGGAACCTCCTCTTCATAAATATGTTTTCTTTTTTTAGTTTAACCATAAAAGTTAGCTTTCTAATAATTTGATGAAATAAAAATGTACTTTTAGTTTGCTAAAGACATAGTAAAATCATAATTTACTAAGAATGCAATATCTCCTTTTTATATTAATTCATATTATATATTATAATATAATAAACCAATAGACTTAAATAAAATATAAAGTTATTAAATGTTTACATAGTCTGCAGTTTGGATACTGATCTTTATAGACTGTGGTTTCAGGGGCCTGGTGCATTGTGCAATTTTTTAACATTTTGAAGACATTGCTAATAGAAAAGATTATTATATTATTTTTCTAGTAATGCAAAAACTTATATATTTCATTTGTTTGTCTTACTTAAGAAGAATTGTTTTGAATTATTTGAACTTTGCAAACATGCAAATCATGAAATGGTTATAAAAATATATTTACTTTTTTATTTATTATATAATTCAACAAATGTTTGGTTTTATTAGAATCTTGTTAAAATAAAACAAATGCTTAAATAAGGAATTATATTATACTCCATGATAAATTGAATAACGTTTATTTCTTTAATAAATGAATAATAATGTAAGTTGTTAATTTTTATAAAATTGTTGCTTAGTTTTATAAAAAAATTATAAGAGAAAAGTTTAAAAATAATTTATTTTAAATGTAATTTATTTTGCTGTAGTTAAGATTTTTTTCTTTGTCAAGAACTCATTTCTTCTTTTAGTTAAGAACTCATTTCTTGGTTAAAAACTCATTTCTTTTTTTAGTAGTTGTCTCCCGTCAAGTTTTTTTTTGCGCTTTTTAAAATGTTCTCAAAACAACAACATCTAAAAAACCTTGGTCATGTTGTGGCAACTAAATATTATATGCATGGTCAGATATAGAGTGCAAATCATGCGCTTTCCGACCAAGTCTGTATATAAATACATAAAAAAATGAAACATAACATTTGAAGCTGAAAAGACATTTGTTCTTGCAACATAAAAAAAAAAAAAAAAGTACAAGTTTTTTTGCTTTTATTACATTAAAAAGAGCTTTATTAAGTTACAGCTTTATAAAGTCTAATTACTCTACTTTTTTTTGTTCCATAAATAGAGCAATATTTTTCTTAAGAAATATTATTTTATTGAATTTAAACTTCTTTTTTCACCTTTAATACATTACCTAAATAATACTATTCAGATTCTTTAGAATGATTTCTCTTTTATATGTTGAGATCATATCTTTTATATTATTCTTTTCCCAAAAAGTTTAAGTTAAATTGTTTAAAGTTTATGGGAGTGAATTTCCTAACCCAAAGTTGTTAAATATATATATATATATATGTATATATATATATATATATATATATATATATATATATATATATATATATATATATATATATATATATATATATATATATATATATATATATATATATATATATATATATATATATATATATATATATATATATATATATATATATATATATATATATATATATATATATATATATATATATATATATATATATATATATTCAAGTCAATATTTTATTAATGAATAAGTTTAATTTAAAACGAGTGTGCATCCATAAACTGACTAATATAGGGACAGGCTCAGTGGAGTATTTATACATTGATTGACTCAAGTAGGGACAGATGCGGTGGAGTGTTCATACATTAACCGACTCAAATAAGGACAAGCAGTGGCGTGTACATGCAAGTACAAAAAGTTTTGGCTTGGAAAGGCATATATTCAAAAAAGAATAATTTGCCTAATAAAATAAAAAGCCTACTGCACTGCTTAAGTTCAAGAACTTCCTTTATAAATCTGATGATGGCATATATCACAACAATTAGATTACTTATTCAATTTATTATCGGTATGAGTAATTGTCATTTTTTAGCAGCAAATTTTGTAAAAATCAATTTAACTATTGCCATTATTGTGATAAGGATAATTTAATAAGATTATTGCGATAAGGATAATTTAATAAGATTATTGTGATAAGGATAATTTAATAAGAATATTGTGATAAGGATTATTTAATAAGATTATTGTGACAAGGATTTATTTATCTTGAAAATGGTTTGAGTAATATGCATTATAAATCTAGAGTTATAATGTGTAACAACAGTAATCCGCAATTAATACCATTTATAAATTATGCAATGTATGTAATCACAATGCGCAATACACAACGTATGTAATTAAAAATCCTGATTAAGAGTTGAAAAAAATTAACATCTTATACTATATATAGATTAGATTACGACTGGGTTTTATTTAGAAAAAAAAATTATTTTAATATTGTATTTTAAACTTATAAATCCAAAAAAAACATAATGTAACATAAAATTTTTAAACACTTAACAGTACTGTTATAATTTGAAAAAAAATTTCCAATTAAGACTTCTCAAATTTAAACTTTTTTTTTTGACAAATGTATTAAAAAAACATAAAGTAACCAATGGAGACGAAGCTATTTTACAATAAAAATATAATATAAGATGATATTTAGTAATACGGCAATATTAAAGAAACATTTACTGTATTATCAGGTTTATTTACATAATATTTAACTTAAAATTAGAGATAGAGTATTAAAAAAATATAAAGTAACCCATGAGGACAAAGCTATTTTTCAATAAAAATATAATAAAAGTTGATATTTAGCAATATGGCAATAATAAACAAACATTTACTGTATTATCAGGTTTTTTTATATAACATTTAACTTAAAATTAGAAAATGTAACCTTGTTACTAATTGTTACCAATTAAAATGTATCAGAATTTTAAAATGTTATTGTTTTAAATGTTAAATAGAGATACTATATTTCCCTATAATTTGATTTAGAATTTTTAAACAGTTTAAGACTAGTAAAATGGTTATAAAGTAATGTTTTATTAAATAAAAAAGAAAAAAAAAATCTAAATGAAAGATTTTTTTTCATATTCTTATATCCATATCGATATGTCTGTATTGATACTTAATTTGAAAGTTTTTGTTATAAAAGCTTTCATATATCATTT